GTAAAAACTTCAATTGAATTTCAATAAAGTTAAAGGCATGGCCTCACCGTTAATATTTAAAAAAAAAAAAAAAAAAGCAATTAATGAATATATATAAAAGGCCTCTATACAAAATACTTTTATACAAAATACTTTACTGCATAAAATACCTGTTATTGTATACAATATTTGTAAATACTTTGTAAGTTTTTGATTAGAGATTTTATATTAGACTTAGTGTCTTTTACTTAATGCTGTATAATAAATTGGTTAGTAAACTGTTCAAAAGATAAAATTGTAATAGATAAGTCTATTTGCAATATATATAAGAATTTAGAAAAAACTTAATATGTTTTTAAAAACTTTATTTATTTGATAGATTTTGAATTATATTTAGCTTTAAAAGAATTGTTGACAGTCTTTTTGACTTAGTTGAAATCTTTTAATAAATTATTATAAATTTCTATATGTCTGGCAAAGGTATCAAAAAAACACAAAATAAGAAACCTAAATAATTAACAAAAAACATGTATTTTAGTTAATCAAAAAGATAATTAAAAAATTATTAGTTCAGAAAAAGTTGTAATTAGATGACCAAGAAACTTGTTGTTAGTCAAAGTATTAAGGCAATATATTAAACACCTTTTATTAAAAATTAGTATAGTAATATTGGCTTGTAATGTAATACTAAAAGCTTTAGGTTTAAAAGTTATATAGAGATCAGGTGAATTATATAATTTGTGATATTTATATATAATAGAAAAGAATAAAAAAACTGTAAATTAGAATTTATAAATCAAAAAATAATTAAGTAAACAAAGGTAAGTTTATTCTAGTTATAAGAATAATAAGTAAGATATACTCAGTTAGGTTATTGAACTTGTATTTAAGCATAAGACTAAAGACAAAACCAGAAGAGTCATTGTTTCTGTCTAGAATGAAAAAAAACTGTTAGTAACAACAATATCTGTAATTGTAAAATAATTTACTAAAAATGTTAGTTTAGAGAGAAGGTATTTAATAAATAGTTTAAAGATTAGAAGTACAACAATAGCTATAAAGAAGGATATAACAATAGAGAAAATTTAATCAATTAACAAATAGATATCAGAAATGATACAGTTGTATATTTGTCTGATTTTTTCATACTGCTCTTTTCTCACCCTCATAGGTGTCCAAATAAATATTGTGAGTAAGTTGTAACTAAACTTGTTTTTGAATATTGTTTGTAGTGCGGATTTGGCTGTCAGATGACAGCTGAATTATTGTTCAGTAGGTGACCTGTCGGATGACAGTTACAGAAATTGGTTGTTATTTATTCAGTGTGTTCGGATTTAGCCTGTCAGACGACAGTCAAATCTAATGTAAGTGGCTATCGGGATGATAGTCACAGGAAGATTTGCGTTCAGATTAACATTGCACAGAGTACGCTTTAATTGGCATGTTAATTTGCACTGATGTGTGCTTTATGGGAATTTTACTTACACTTTTGCGCTTTTTGCACTTATCGATGCTCTCGAATTCTGCGTTGATCAAGGAAGTTTGCACGAAGCAGCAGAAAGAGAATACCCATAATTGTATTTATTGCCGAACACCTCGATGAGAGACAAATAAAAATTTAATTGTACATTAAAGTTCATTTTCATCCCTAAAAACAGAAAAAAAATTATTTTTATTAATAAAAAATTTATATTTACCGGCAATCAGCTTCCGAAAATCACATGTACTGTAAGCCGGCAAAATAATCCGGCTACCATTTTTTTTCTGGGCAACGCTAGTGTTGTTCATAAATTTCAACGACTAAGCTGTTCGCATCACAGTTGCTAACAGAATAAGAACCCGATGTCTTAATAGCAAATAAGAATTGTAATGATATTTATAGTATTTTAAATGAACCTAATTATAATATGAATAAGAACCCTATTAGTCTTTATTATTATATTTTGTTAAATGAAATTATGACAATAAATAATGCATAAATAAATAAATGAATAAAGCTTATAAATGTGAAAAAAATTATATAAACTACATAGCAATAACGTTGTATTTATTGAAAAATCCAGATCTCTATATCAAGATCATAGTATGTGCGCATACGCGGAAACAAATACCCAATGACACAGGATATTTTATTACAAATATTCATGCCCAAGCGTGTTACTATTATCTACTTCATCTTTTTCGCTTTCTTTTCTATCTTTTTTTATTGCCATATTGATTGTCATAGAACCTTTTATAAAAAAAACTAGACTAAATATTATCTTTGCAACTCCTGAGATTGTAAGATTCTGAGCTATTGCATAAATAAGACTGATTATTAAAAATGTTAAATTTCTGAATATTGCCACAATTCCAACTCTTTTTCGCATAAGTGCATTGACATCATCACTACTAGCCATCAAATACCAAAACAATGAAAGTGTTGTCTTATCTTTTTCCTTATCAGGATATACACCGAAATTGTTACTGCTACCGGTGCTATCATCATACCAAGCGCTCTAACACTAGGCTCATCATGTATAGTCAGATATGTTACTATTAATGTTACTACAAATATTATAATCATAGCAACAATGCAAATATCGAAAAAGACTTTATCACTATTGCTTATGTGTGTTAGCAAAATAATAGTGGACATGGAGCCAAGTATAGCATTACATAAACTTAATAGTATTCTTCCTTTCTTTAGACTTAAATTTACGCAAGTATAACATAACGTAACAAGATAAAACCAGATAACAAATGCAAAGAAGAAGCTTTCTATCTGATTATTTTTCAAATATCCAACAAAATCGAACTTTCCCGTAGTAATAATTTCTTTTAAAGATACATCATTTCCACCCGAAGATTCTGATGAAGTTGAGTTAGTAGTTTGAGCATTTATTGCAGTGAGATTCTCTCCCAGAACGAGAAAAATGAGCATGTAAATAATGACATGCATCATTATTAGTTATTGTAAAAAAGTAAGGTTATTTTTATTAAAAAATTATGTATTTGTTTATAAAAAGAAAGAACACAAAATAGTCTTGTGAAATAATTGCGGAGCAATTAACCTGTTAACTCCACATCATTGAACCATTCTTTGTATTTATGTTTGATATTGAACAAACATGGACGATTAACAAAATCTACGCTAATCACATTTTAGTACTGCCGCCAAGAGAAATCCCCAAATAATATCAATAAGATTTGCAGGTTTTCCCTTGGTAGCACTCATTTCTACATAATTAGGTAACGGGAGATAATACGTGTTCTGAACATGAGTGTCATTGAGATAATTTAAATCATTCTTTGTGTTTATGTTTGATATTGGACAAATATGGGACGATTAATAAAATCTATGCTAATCACATTTTAGTACTGCCATCAAAAGAAATCCCCAATCTTATCTTGGTAACACTCATTTCTACGTAATTAGGTAAAGGTAGATAATAAGTGTTCTGTGGTGGAAGTAATATAAGCGCCATTGAAATAATTAAATCAGTCTTTGTGTTTATGTTTGATATTGGACAAACACGGGATGATTAACGAAATCTATGCTAATCACACTTTAGTACTGCTGCCAAGAGAAATCCCCAAATCTTATCCAATAAGATTTACAGGTTTTCTCTTGGTAGCACTCATTTCTACACAATTGGGTAACGGTGTTCTGTGTAAAGATGTCTGACGAAATTATTTTTGAATTGATTAAAGGTATCGTCAAATTACATACCTGACGAAACCATTGACGATTGACGAAACCCCTGACGATTGACTAAACCCTTGACGAAACTTCTGATGGTTGAGAAAACCTTTGTCGAAACCTTGACAAATGATACTCAACAAGCTTCTCTATTATGATCTCTGGATAATGTCGTTTCATTATATATTTGTGTGTAATGCGAAATTGGTCATATGATCGTACAAAATTCCATTCAATTAACTTACGCTCGACCAATCAAAATTCATTTGATACAAATAACCTGGCTTCGTTTATGGACGAAACGGGGTTTTCTAATATTAGGTAAAGTTTTCTTGGTAACCACTTAATTAATTCAATAAAAATTTTCTATTTCAATTATACACGTTCGTAGAATCGAAATAAGAAATTTCATTGAAACTATTCAGGTAGTTACCGAGAAAACTTTATAAAACATGTCCCGTTTATTAACGAAACTTCTACATGTAATCAATTTTAATTGGTTGAGCATACATAAATTCGCATGTTCATCTTCACGTGACCATACTCCGCATTGTTTGGTTTGTTACACGAGATCCTGTAATTCTATTGGCTTATAAGCTTCGTCATAAGTTTCGCCAATCGTCAATTCGTCATTTCAAAATTGGCTTGACGAAAGGTTTCGTCATTCGTCAAAGCATTTTTAGTTCTATGGTGAAAGTAACATAAGTGTCATTGAGATAATTAAATTATTCTTTGTGCTTATGTTTGCTATTGGACAAACATGGGACGATAACAAAATATATGCCAATCACATTTTAGTACTGCCGCCAAGAGAAATCCCCAAATCCTACGTAATTAGAAGTAACATAAGTGTCATTGAGATAAAATATGGTGATAGATAAGACACTGCACAGGCATTTTTTTTAGACTGTGCAGTGCAATTTTCATAATTCAGGTCAGCTGGTATAACTCTGGTCAACTTTATAACCCAGGCTTGAATTAGCAATCGGAAATCGTTCTGGATCGGCCTGAAAGAAAACCAAAACACGATCGTTAATAGAATTTATCGTTCATAATTCTGGTCAAACTTGCAGACCATTGGACCACATTTAAAGTTGGTCTAGATCTGGTCGAATGATCTGCAAATTTGACCGGAATTATTAACGATGATCTCAAATGCAGTAAAAAAAATGAAAAACAAAAAAAAAAACCGAAAACTGAAGTTAACCTTGAAGCATTATTAAAAATTCTGGAAGCTCGACTTAACATATATGAAATAGATGTTTTATACATATAAACGCGAAACCAATGAGCAAAATCTCTAGGGATTGAGGTTGCGCAGCCTGCGCTGTAGATTCAAAAAATCCTCGATTTTCCTATCTTTAAAGATGAGGTATTGAACGGTAAAGATTACCTATGAAGTTTATGGGTAAATCCGACTCTAGGACCATTAAGAACAAACGTGTAACGACCCACGCAAATGCACCATGAAAAACCGTCGTACCACGATGCCCGCGACCCAGGATAAATCAAGTTCCCCATTTAGTGACAGTGCCGATCCATTGAGAAAAAGCCACCCGCCCGATTTGGAAGACATCTGTCAAGGTAATATTACCTTGACAGGTAAGGTCTGTGGCCGTGTAAATGCGTCGTCATATGCTGGGTTTTGTGTAGTCGTGAGAGGAATAAAAGATGCTAAAAGAACGACGGGTGGGTTGTAGGAAAAAGGGTAAAACTGCTTATGTCAATGAGAAGAAAGGTGTTAAAGCCGTGTTCGAATTCCTTTCTTTTTTTTTTCCTTTGTAATTCTTTATAAATACGGATCGAATTCCCCTTCTTGTAATGTACCTTCTTGCCTTTCGACCTTTAACCTAATCACCCTTGACCTTGTAACTTTGGAACCTTCTCAATAAACCCGCCCTAATAATAAATAAAGTTGTTAACTTGTGATCAAAAATAAACCAAATAAGCTAAAGTCACTACTTCCTTTAACCCGTTTACTTGCATTTCGAATCCCCTTGTTACGCTCTCAAAAGCCGCCTTGACCAGTGCCAAATCGTAACCGCCTCATACAAGTTTTTGAGTGACATTACGTGACGTCAACAATTCCGAAGCGACAATTCATCGCATTCCCTCTTTTTCCTAGTGGTGCGTCCGACCCTAATAGCCCGTATCAGAAGTTATGAACCACAGAATCGACTAATCAAATTATTCAGGATTTCTTCATATAAGCTCTAGTTGATCCTTTTAACATTTTGACTGATGCTATATTTTCAATGATCTGTTATATAATAAAGAGAAATTACATATAGGACCAAAGTGAAAATAATTACATATAAGAACACAAATCTTGAAAGTTTTACAATTAGGAACCAAAATAATTTTGTTATAATGATAATGGTTCTTTGAATGTTATCACTGTATACATGTACTACTTTAACCATTTTATAGTACTTTTATCCGGCTAAGTGACATGGCTACTCCAAATTAGGGACCGTCCTCAATTTGAAGATCGTTACACAATTGATAAAAAAATTTTTTATACGTTTTACAATACTTTTTTAGGAAGCTCGCATAACTTATCTCTGCTATGAAACGTGTTCAAGTTTACTAAGCAAACTTGAAGCTTTCGTAGCATATTTTAATAATATCAGTTGAACCCATTTGAATCCAACAACTTTTATATTAAAGATTTACTAAACGAATATATACCGGAAGAGAGGCAACATATAAAATATACTACTACTGGGCTGTCAAAATTTAGTTCGTTGAGCAAAAAAAATTATGAATAAACTACAAATAACGGTTTTATGAAGTAAGGTGAGTAGTAAACTTTGGAACATAAGTTTTTTTTATGTTATGTTCATTTATTAAGGATCTTTTAAATAAAATAGCTAAAAAAACAGTTTACTAACTATAATCTTCTATATATCCTATATTCTATACTAGAGTTTTTTTTTTGATTATCGGGATGAAATTTGTTTAGAATGTAATAAAAATCCCATAGGTTAGCATGCATATATTAGTTTTAATAAGTAATTGGTATTACGAATGAGACATTTGATGGGTTTTTGTTATATATAGGTTATAATTAAATATATACCATATACCGTCTGTAAAAATAATAATAATTAAGAGTTATCTATATAATTGATGAATTAAATAGATAAAGATACAGTTACTTACTTTATTATAAAATCAAATTAAGCTCCAAAATAAAATTTTAATGTTATTGCAAATTTTTTATTCGTTATTCATATTTTTTTTATTGAAATCGCAAATCATAAATTGATTGGTCAATCAGCATGTGACATTTTGTATCTACGAATTTAATTGGTTATGGAGATTCACGGGAATGATCTACAATTGGTGTAACATGAACGGTCGCTCCTGTTAACAACAGGGGTGACCGTCCCAAATAAGGAAATGATGATCCTGATCATGCATATTGATTTGGCCAATCAAAGTTGTAAATATTTATCATGTGAAATTTATCACGGGCTGATTAACCAATCAAATTTTAAATTTTTATAAAATGAAAAGAAACGAAATTTAATTAAAATTTATAGTTAAAGTTCTAAGTAAACGCCGCCAAATGATATTGTTAAGTAAGTAAGCATGAATTGATTAATTTAAATCTCAATTATTAGTATTTATTTACAAAATCCCAATCATCTATATAAATATGTTTAATTATACGTCTAATTGTGCATTTAATTCTAATATCTACTTAGATTTCTATGATCTTAAACTATCGTTATTCTATCTTAAATTAATACTATACTATCTTAAGCAACTAATATCTAATAAGAAACCTTTGCGCTTTTAATATACATTGTGCATATATACATATAAACTTTTTATCATATTCTAAAAGATTCTATTATAAATTGTATTAGTTAATTAATAATATTCATATAAACTTTTATTTTTCTAAAAGATTTCTATGTGAAATATATAATAAAAAAAATACAAACTAATTTCTTCTTATTACCTATCATTATTAATCATTTTTTTTTTAATTTTTGTTTTTTTTTTGTTCAACAATTAAAATTTTGTCAATGTTATAACAGTTAATTACTTGCAACTTTGGTATGTAAATTATAATATGAAGGTCGAATGATTCAAAATGATTCAACTGATATTTATTATAGTATGGCATGAAAACTTCAAGTTTACTTAGAGCACTTTGCCCATTTTAAAGATAAGATAATTTACCTAGGCTTCTGAAAAAAGTATTGTAACATGTATAAAAAAAAATCCAAATCAATTGAATTGTTTGTGTAATGATTTGCAGATTTGGGGCATACTCAGGATGGTCCTACCTGTTCCTGTAATAGGGGAGAACGTTCCAGATATGGTAATTGTAGTTACACAAAATTTCTGACCTTGCATATCAGCATGACTAATCAATATAATGAATTTTGATAATAAGCAATTACAGAATTACATATGTATATAGATGCCAAATATTTAAATGCAATTAAATTTTTTATGCATTTACAATAATTATATTTAAATTAATTGCAATTCAATTCGCTGTTGAACCAGGAAGACAAATTATAAAGATGCTTACCATCATCTTTGGTTAAAAAAAGCCTCTATGTAATACTTGTTTAAAATTTTTGCACTCATTAGAACTAATTTAAAATAGATATTTAGATGCTTCAAAAAAAATATAAATTGTGCAAGTTACTAAAAGAAATCAGTTGATAGTTTTAATTTTTTTATTCACTTACCTATTAAGTTAAATTACAAGGCTTTGAAATCACAATTACTTTTGTATGTATTTTATTACAAAACTATGGTGAAATTTGCAATCAGTTGATTAATTAAGGTCAAGTAATTACTTCACAATTAAATCATCAATATGCCTAATATGTGTAATTTAACTTTTATTTTTTTAAACAAATCATATTTAATAAATTTTAATAAAAAATGTATATATATTTATTTTTTTGTAAAAAAAAATTTTATTTTAATAAAAAAATTACAATTCAATAAAAGTTTTTTTTGTTTGCTCTAGTAAATTATTCATCATTGCTATATCATCTGTTACTGTGTCTACATCGTCTGAATCATTCTCGATTGCATTTTCAATATTCTCATCAATAAATTCATTTTCATCTAAATTCTTCATCATACTTTCTTTAATTGCTTCAACATTATTTTTAACTTCTTTTTGAAGATAATCCAAACATATCAAACATTTAAAACTGCATTTTTGTAAGCAACAGCTATGATAGCCGTGTCTATATGCAAGAACATTACCATCATTTGAACAATTAGTATAGTTAGTACAATCACAATACTGATAATTACATAAAACAGTTGTAAATAGTTTTCGTGTAGTAATGAAGCCTCTTGGAAGATAGCGATCCATTATAACATAACCTAAAGAAGGCAACGTATATGTGTAAATGCTATCATTAGATAAATTATCAGTAAAAGGATACAGATGGCATGCTTTATAAATCTTTGAAAATGTTTCCAAAAGAACCATAGCACATTTCTTAGATAATATGCGCAATTGCTTTGGCTTATACAGATATTTCATGAAATTTACGAAATATTGACAGAAAGTGTTTTTTTCTTGATACTGAAATATAAAACGTGTCTCTTTTTGCAATTAACTTGCTATAAAAAACTTAGCTATACACTATCGAATTATACTATAAACCGTTTCTACTGGAGAATTGCTTAAAGATGCAAGATGATTAGTAAACATATTCATTATTTGATGATTAGTATCTTTCCAAAAGAAAATATCAGAAAAAAACATTAAAGGAGCACATTTATAATTTTTTCGATCAAATCAAAGAAACAAATTGTTCCAATTACGTATACATGCCTCTTCATAAGCATGACAATTTCCTTCTTGATGATGTACTGCATAAATGTCGAGTACTAAAGGAATTAAATTACTCAAAAGATCAGTTATATATAAAAATTTAATATTTTTGCATATATAACTGAATTTTGAATAAATAACATCAGCAATATCAAGCCACTCCATACGCATAAGATAAAGAATTAAGTCAATTCACCATGGTTGTGGCTTCTTACCAAGAGTTTTATTTTTTCCAAAAATATCTTTATAAATATCATTAAATAAAAACGAATTTTTTATAAAAACAAGTTTATGACTGTTCAAAGACATATGGAGAGGTCTTATAACAGGCAAAAATGATGTAATAAATGGAAGAACAACTTCATTGTTAAGAAGAAGCTGATATGCAATAGTCTTACAAATGAAGAACTGACCAGGCCAATTCGCAACAACAGGAATTACATGGTTGGAAAGGTATTGTTGCATGAATTCTTGACTATGCACAATTCAAAGAGCTTTTGTATAATCCTCTATACTTTTCAAATTGCCTTCGATGAAATCAAAGAGGATAGCATTCTGTATATATCGATTACTCTTTTTTTTTATTAGCCTATTATTATAACTGTGCAAAGTTAGCCTCTTCATAAGCTCATCATCAGAGCATTCCCCTATGTGGTCCTGTACACGTTCATGATAAGGAATACCAAGATTTATGATAAATTGATCATCAAGATGTTTTATAATTAGTTCATCATTGACGAATTTTGGATTAAATACTCCATCACACAGTATTGCTGATACAGAACACAGATTTGCTATAATGGTTGACATATGTGTTGGACAAGATGTAATGGTAGTATCAGACTGTCGTGGAATGTGAATATTGTGGTAATCGTCAACGTTCAGCACAAAAGCACTACTAGAATATTTTAAAAAAGCATTTTCAACATATTTCTTATAAGTATCTAAAACCTTTTTCTTCCTTTGATCTATTGCTCTTGATGTTGTAGTCACACCAAGATTTGCCATTGTATTTAACCCTTTATTACTCGTACCTACAGAATTCAAATAAAAACTATATCAAACTTAAAAGCATTAATTTTCATATTATTTAATAATGCAAGAAGATAACATATATACAAGATTAATTTTTTTATACGATTCATAGTTTTCTCAGTTCATTCAAGAGGTTTAGCTGCCAAATAAAGCTGCTTAAGAAAATCTTTTAAAATCTTGTTTACTTGAAACATTTGTTGTAATTCATTATATGAATATATGGGGTTTTCTTTCTTCATATGTTCTCTTTTATAAAAAAGCTTTGCCATTGCCATAATAACTTCAACAAGATCAACCATACTTACTTCTTCCTCATTTACAATCTCTACCCTTTCAATTCTTGATGTTTCAGTTTCTCTTCTAATCATAGTTTCAATTTCTTCTCTAATAAAAACATCTAAATTATCTTCAATTGAAATTTTCACTTGTTTAATACTTTTTTGTAATGGATTTTCTACATATTTCATATAACATTTATTGTACAAAACAATATTTTTTTTCCATGCTACCCCTGCTTCTACTAGTATTAAGTTCTTACGCTTAAGTTCTTTCCATTTTTCACCTTGAACCGGGCGGAATTTTTTCGAATCAGTAGATTCACAACATTCACATTTCTTAATTCCAGACATACTTTCATTTGGCAAATCGTATTATAAAAGTTGTGGAATTAACAGGGATTATTTGAATATGTTATAAAACAGCATGAAGGCTTCAAGTTTGCTTAGTGAATTTGCTCATGTTTGCTAGAAGAGTTATGTAACCCAAACTCCCTAAAAAAGTATTGTAAAGCATATAAAAAAATTTCTTTGTTAATTGTGTAACCATTCAAAATGATTTCCATATGGGGGTGCCCACAGCAAAAGGTGGCTTTCGACCAACCAATCAGATTTTGAGATTTTATATAATATCTAATTAACTGATAAATATCTTTATAAAAACAAATTTTGGTTGCTAAATGTATTAATAAAAAAATTTATAATTTGAATTAATTATTTTGATAATATTATTTATATAATAGTTATATACCAATTTTGGATGTGATTTTCTCAAAATCACATGATTTTTCCAAAGCCACCTTTTGCTATAGGTCCTCCCATATATGGGACGTTCTCCCCTGTTTATTTTAGGCACATGACTCATTAAACCCGTGATTTTCCGTAAACATACGAGTTTCTGCTATGCTGCAAACAACAGTTTAATGGACATCGTGAGTCGCGTTTTACGTGTTAACTGTTATACGATATTATAGCCCTTTATAACCCTATTCTGTATATTTAGACAAATCCAAAAATAAATTACTTTGAGGAAGTTGAACTGTCGGATCGGTCGCTTGTTAATTTCCTAGAATGGGGATCAAGGTTTTCTGATTTTTCAAACAAGGATTCTTAACATAGCGCCTGGAAGACGCTTCTCAAAAAGATTAGTAATATTTAAATTGTTATGATATTATTTATTTATTATTTATTATATTGGTGTCCTTAAGTTTTTTTCAATTAAGCCATCATACAACAACCCGGCACTTTTTCTTAAGTAATATAACTGAATGTAAATACTTATCAGAATGTTTTGAATCTGTATACCGAGCCTTGATCTTCTATTCCATTATTGGGTCTTGGTAGGATGCCACTGTTTATTGCTGAACACATTGGTTGGTCCCTGAGCCAGATCAATGCATGAGTCCCTGTTGCTTGTTCAGTTCGGTAACAGTAGCCACTGACAGGCCATGAGCTTTTGTAAGCCCTTGGTAGGATGCCACCGTCTATTGCTGAACACATTGGTTGGTCCCTGAGCCAAATCAATGCATAAGTCCCTGTTGCTTGTTTAGTTTGTCAATGGCGCCCAAGCATTCTGATGAACGAACAAGAATTTTTGCATGATTCAATACTAACTGCATTGAGTTAACCTTTAAGAGGGATAAAAAAAATTATACAACGTTGAGAAATTTTGGGATGAAAGTAGAAGCATGTATTTATATAATCGTCTAGAAACAATATTAAAGGAAACTAAATTGCAGATGGCAATTTTGGATGTGAGTTCACGTAATGTTGTGCATATTTACTATGTAAATTATATAAATTAACCTTTCTACTGTAAATTATATAAATTAACTTTTCTACAGCTCAAGAATGTTGTCAATAAACCCGAAGAAGAGACAAATCACTCTGTTCTTATTGGAAAAAGACGGTACCGGATTCTAAAAAACGAATTGGAATCTGAGAGGAAGATACATTTGAGCCCACTCAAAAACAAAATCGTCAAGCAAGATATGGAAGAAATATCTCGGACTATTCTGAACAAGATTCTGATAAGCCTGAAAAAGTACGCAATATGCTATTTTGATTCTTAGTGTATTCATACTAGTTCGTGTATCAACTTTGGAACTTTGTATTTAGAAAATACGCATAACACAGCTTGAATTACAACCACATTATGCAGGCAAGGATAGAGATGATAGACCAGAGATTGATAACATATATTTGAGGTATAAGAAATGTTGTTAAACCTTCTGATATATCGACAGTTAAGAAGATCGTTACGGAATCTATTATAAGTACTGCTAACGAATCAGTAGTTAAATTGTTGAGATGGCAACAAAGCAACCTTGAACAAATATGCCATGGAGTTCATATTCCAAAAGAACAAAATATCTATCATCTGTTATCTGTTTCATCAATATTTTATTTCCAACAACGAAATGAGCAATCCTATCTGGATTTTTTGACAGAAAATGAAATTTCTAAAATTCGGTCAGATATGGGCTGTGTTCTGCAAAAAAGAGGGAAATCAACAAAAAAAAAGATCTTCGGAAAATCAATTTTTATGTTATAA